GGAAACTCCATTAGGACACAGATAAGAACAGTGTGAAATGGGCCTTTAAATACCAGGAGTGATGTTTAGAATAAGGCGAGGGTCTGCGCACACACACACACACACACACACACACACACACACACACACACACACACATTACGGCACATGTGATCAGATATAATCACGCTGAAAGCCGCTCCGCTCCTTTGTGCTCCTCAGACCAACATTAAGACTCTCGCGCTGATGCTAAAACGCGCCGATGCTAAAACGCGCCCGCTCCATTAAGTCATTTGCGCGTGTTTGCTAAGAGGCTTTCAGACGCGCGGCGGCTTCGTGACATTAACTCGAAGATGTGTCGGAACAATCGCGCCGGAGCCGTACGGGAGCCGGCCGACGGGCGCGGCTAATACGGTTAATGCCTTTTAGAGCGGTGCGCGTTCGTTTGGCGACGCGGCGGGGAGCAGATCGTTTCATATGGATTGTTTACGACGATAATCTGCCCCCTGATCCGGACCCTAGTGGTGACACGAGGAATTACACCCACAATATATTTACACAAACACGAAAACTCCCTTTATAAAGACGACGGGGACGAAAGTGAAAGTGAAACGATACATTACACAACAATAAAACTCCCCGGAGAACGCTGCATTAACACACTTATCCAAATCTATTCAACACTAAAGATTTAAAGATGTGACTTTAAAAACAACATTTATTTCTTTAAAACTAAACTGATCCAAATATGTTTTATAGACTCTGAAAAACTAAAAAAAATTAAATAAAAAATATTCTAAATTCCAGAACAGAGGCAAAAACAAAGTAATTTAATTAATGAGAAAACTGGAATTAACTTCAGAATAGGGACGGACATTGGATGAAATTTTCTTAATCGATCGTCAGAAGAATTAACGATCGATTATCGATTAATCATGAAGGTTTTTCTATTAAAATGATCATCATTATTACTATCTGCACTAATCTGCATCAATAAATTCAACTTTACGACATATAAACATAACGACTCTAGATCCACATCAGCTGTTTGACATTATAATGTGTTTAATTCAGTTTTGTTCAAATCTCACAGAAACAAAACTTAAAACCACATCACTAATTTACATAAACTAAGTGAAGATAAAACTCCAGCTCTTGTGTCGCTGATGTGGTTCAACTTGTGTTGGATTAAAAGACATGACTCAGGTGAATACAGGTCAGTGTGACCAGATTTGTGTTTGTCAAAACCAGGACAGCGTACGGGGGGAGGGGGGCGGGGCCTCGTCATCCACATTGAGCGACTCTCACCTGGAAAAACTTTTTCCCACTGGACACAGAAACATATGTGCTGCTTTATCCACTGTGCACATGGACTCACACTTGTCCCAACGCAACGGAAAGTGTGGAATTTCTTCTACAAATCCTGGTTAAATCCACATTTGTGCTTCGGTTCGTTACAGACTGACCCACTGTTTGTGTGTCGCTCCTTCTGATGCAGAGACACATGTACACACCTGTTTGGTCACGACACACACACATACATTCAGTTTGTCCATTAAAATCAACGGAATCCATGAAATTCTTAATGATCAATTATCGATTAATTGATTAATTATGCCCATCCCTACTTCAGAATATCACAAAATATAAAACAAACTCAATCAGAGACATCGGTCTGGTCCCGTGAGGCGTCGGTTCAGTTCATCAGCCCATATCACATGATCATTATACACACACACTGTAATGTGTGTATGTGTACAGGCCCATGAACATTAGTGTGATGTTGGTCACACATCAGAATGTCTGTGTTTACTAGTGTGGAATGAAATATAATTTGTCATGAGTTGTGTGTGTGTTAGTTGTGTGACTGTAGATCAGTGTGTGTGTTTCACCAGAAAAACATGAAATGGAAATGATTTTTGTTCCAATTAGAATTTTAACGGCATAAACTGAAAGAGAAAGGAACTGTTCCAATTAATGATCTCAAAAACTATTCATATTTTACTACACAAATGTATAGAATTATGAATAGATGATCATTTTTCTGAGATTTTGAGACACTCCCGTCGCTCGAGCTCCGTCCTTCGCCAAGTTATGACCAAAGACACATATTTGACCTCGGTGACCTTGGAGGACCAGGTAATAACACAACGATAATCTGGAAAATGAAAATGACTCAGACTCATGTGACTGATCCGAGGTCAGTTTAAAAACACAAATAAAGCTGAGTATCGTTAAGAAATTGTCGATACGATACATCTGCGATACGCTTTTACGCTTTTTCAATACAGTGGCTTTTGATTCGATACGATTCAATACGATATCTTTCAAATCGATTCGATACAGTTCAGTGAAAAACAAAGGCTAAATTAAATCGTGGCTGTGATACTAAAAGTCGACCGAGTTTGTGCAAAGTTCATACGAAAAACACAGATTTTACTCCAAACAGTGAAAATGTCAGCACAATTATAACTTTTACACAAAATGTATTTAGTAAAACATACCTAAAAATACTCTCGGCGATATATCGATACAGCAGTCTACGATATCGATACTGTATCATCGAATTAAACAATACGATATATCGATATTTCAATGTTTTTGCCCACTCCTACTTACAATTGTACAATTGTGTTTAATATGATTTGTTTATTTGAGTTTATGATCCACACTAAACATTTTCAAAAAGATAAAATCCACATTTTGAGGTTTTACTAGATAAATCCTCACTTCATCTACAGATATATTGCACATTTTATCATAAATTATATTTTTTGTGAAGCCCAAATTCTATTTTTAGTTAGAAAACTGTATTTTTTTTTCTATCTTTCTTAACAGAGAATGAAATGTAAATAAGATTTGTAGCCTGTAAATTCTAAATAGTTGCTTATTTTTTGTTCTAATGTCATAAAAACATTATTATTTAGATCAGCTCGTCAGTTAAACATTGTAAATATTTTATGTGAGCTTCATTTTGACTCCTTTCCAGAATTTGGAACAGGGTCTCTGTGTTTGTTATTCTCTCTCAAATCAAGTCTTTCTGGATCAACTACGAAAAGTAAATAGTCTTAAAACTTCAATTACTACATTTACATGAGAGCTTTAAATCCAAATAAAAATGTATTCTGGTTTAAAAAGACCATGTAAACACACAATTCCTAATCAAAATGATTAGGAAGTGGGTGGTTTATTCTGATTTTAAAGCTGAATTAATTTACTCCTCAATCATGTAAACGTTTATTCTTCTTAAAAAATAAAAAAAAACCTCCACCCTTATGTAACAGATAATACTCCCTACAACTGTACAACTCACCCTTATGTAACAGATAATACTCCCTACAACTGTACAACTCACCCTTATGTAACAGATAATACTCCCTACAACTGTACAACTCACCCTTATGTAACAGATAATACTCCCTACAACTGTACAACTCACCCTTATGTAACAGATAATACTCCCTACAACTGTACAACTCACCCTTATGTAACAGATAATACTCCCCCACTACATTTACATTTCTACAATTATGTCTTATTTCACTCCTGTTTCTTGCTCTTTTTTGCTGCTTATTTAGAATTTCTTATAATTTATATATATTTTTACTCTTTGTTATTATATTATATTGTGATGTCTGAGCTTCTGTGTCCAAATAATTTCCCTTAAAAATCAATAAAGTTCTAAAAAAAGACGAGTTCATTAGCTGGATTTTTGTAGGTTTTAGTCTAATTTTGTTCTAAAAAAAAAAACTAAACCAGGACTAAAACCAGGTCTAAAACCAGGACTAAACCAGGACTAAATCCTGCTCCGTGGACGTGTCTCTTCTTCTTCTATCAATAATATTTTTAATACGGTAAATCAAGTAATCCAAAGTACTCAGATTACATTACCCACTTTAAGTAATTTAATGGATTCCGTTACAAACTACATTTTGGTGTGTGTAATCTGTAATCTGTAGGGGATTACATGTTAAAAGTAAACTTCACTACACTGGTTTTGTGTAAATGAATCGTCACGTTGACGCAGAATCTCGAGTGTTTCCTGCGGCTCCTCGTGACGCTCAGGTGATCAGTCACGTGACCCAGCGTCTGTCACGGCTCATGCTAACATGCTAACGGGCTAACGGGCCAAACACGACGCAGAATATCACAAAAAACAAGAGTAAAAAGAATAAACCTCCTCAAGCCCCGAGTCCGCACCGACAAAACCCGCTCAGACACGGGAAATGTGCGTGTCCAAAGTCAAAACAGCGAAATAAAAACAGAAAGTGTCGAGTGACCGAGCGGCTAACGGATGCTAGCTCCAAAACAACACTTTTTAACTCGTCCGCGCGAAATTAAACTCATTTTTCTCCACAAACGGAAGTCACACACTCACAACTAAACGTAAATCAAGATTAATTCCATTTCCATTCATTTAAAAACACAGAAACACGCGTTTTTCGGATGACCCCGCCGTTTAGCCGCTGTTAGCTTTAGCATCCTAGCTCCGTTTGACAGTTTATCTTTTAACAGCCTCAAAAATGAAATTATCTCCTGATCATTTATCAAACACAATCACGCGGGGTTGTGTTTATTATTCTAAGTTCACGTTACATCCCGTTTTATCGTCGGTAAATGTTGAGTTTTGTGATTTTGAGACGCGTTTGTTGTTTTTTCTTCAATGAGAGAAACAGAAAAACACGAGTTACAGATCGATTATGACACGTCATTTATTTTATAGACGAGATCATGCAAAAATATGATCGACAAAATGATGTGCTGAAGTCAAAAGTCTAAAAATGGGGAAGTTAAAGCAGAAAGAGGATTTAACCAAAGCCTGAGCCAAATCTGACGCGTTTTTCTTGTTATTTATGAATTAATTTGATGATGTGCGGGTTATTCAAGTGTAAAGTGTTAAAATGAGTTGGTGTTGGATGCATGAGTGTTCAGGTTGTGTTGTTTGTGCAGGGGAGAGGCTGAGGCTGCAGCGTGAGGAGCCGCAGAGCCGGAGCCGCAGCGGGGGGGGGTCCGGTACTCACTGAGCCGGGGCTGGGAGATGTAGTTTCGGGTCACCGCCTGCGTGTGGGTCCGGGACGCCGCGGAGAGACTGTCCATGCCTCGGTTCGCGACGAGAGTGGCCATGGTCCGGGGGAGAAAGCTGCAGAGGAGCCGCTGAGGAGCCGCTGAAGAGCCGCAGGAGTGAGAAGAGCCGAGCGGAGGCCGAGGACCATGTGACGGGATCACGTGACTCCAGGAACAGGAAGTGAGTGAGAAACTGTCACGGGCAAAAAAATAAAATCACAGGGAAATCCGTTCGTACAAAACCCAGAAAACACCGCCCAGGACCGGAACCACACAGAAAAGAGCCAAACTGGATCTTAAACTCACCATTTCTCCAAAAGCAAAAGAAGTTTATTATAAAACTGAGAGTCCACACGTCCCTGTTTCCACGAGACTGTCCCAGTTTTATACAAGAAATGTCCCACGTGTCCCTATTTTTGATCTAAACCAGGTCTAAACCAGGACTATTTCAGGTCTAAACCAGGTCTAAACCAGGTCTAAACCAGGACTAAACCAGGATCTATTTCAGGTCTAAACCAGGTCTAAACCAGGTCTAATTTCAGGTCTAAACCAGGTCTAAACCAGGACTATTTCAGGTCTAAACCAGGTCTAAACCAGGTCTAAACCAGGACTATTTCAGGTCTAAACCAGGTCTAAACCAGGACTATTTCAGGTCTAAACCAGGACTAAACTAGGACTAAACCAGGACTAAACCAGATCTATTTCAGGCCTAAACCAGGTCTAAACTTGGGCTAAACCAGGATTAAAATGGGGCTAAGCAAGGACTAAACCAGGTCTGTTTCAGCTCTAAACTGGGGTTAAACCAGGACTATTTCAGGTCTAAACCAGGTCTAAACTAGGTCTATTTCAGGTCTAAACCAGGACTATTTCAGGTCTAAACCAGGACCAAACTTGGGCTAAACCAGGACTATTTCAGGTCTAAACCAGGACTATTTCAGGTCTAAATCAGGTCTAAACTAGGGCTAAACCAGGACTAAACCAGGACTAAACCAGATGTATTTCAGGTCTAAACCAGGACTAAACTAGGGCTAAACCAGGACTAAACCAGGACTAAACCAGGTCTAAACCAGGACTAAACCAAGTCTATTTCAGGCCTAAACCAGGTCTAAACTAGGGCTAAACCAGGACTAAAATGGGGCTAAACCAGGACTATTTCAGGACTAAACCAGGTCATTATTTTATGTTTGTACCATTTTCTTAAATTTAGAAACACTAGAGGAAGTTCAAAATGATGATTGAACGAGTTCCGTATCTTGACTTGGAGCACGGAACCGCGTTTCTGTTTTAACGTCGACCTTGAGAATAAAGAAAACTCAAATAAAACGAAGATGATTTGAATAAACCTTAAACTGAAGTGGGACACGTGGTCAAAGTTTGTTTATCCAGCAGCTCGTTACTGATCTTTTAAAACGTACAATATTCATACGATAATGGGTAAAATAGGCGACTCACAATTAGAGCGAGCAGCATTTCAAAATAAAAACTGGGACATTCCCGGTTTTTCGGTGGTTGATAATAATAAAATTGTCGTAATTAAGGAAAATTGTTACACACTCGGCTCTAATGTGAGTCAGTATAGTCACATTTTCTTTGTGTTTTGGTCGTTTTAAAGCAGATTTTCTGTATTTTACTGAAACAAATGTCAGTTTACGTCTCTCTTTACTGTTGGTTTAGATCAAATTGGTGAAAAATAGAAACACCTGGGACGTTTCTTGTATAAAACTGTGGGACAAATCATTGGTTTTGTATAAATCTGCTGGACACAGGCTCAAAACTGGGACTGTCCCGGAAAAACAGGGACGTCTGGTCAATCTAGTCCAAATATTTGAAGGGTAAATGTCCAGATATTTTGGCAGCTATTGTAATTTCTGCCTCTAATGCGAGTGTCCAGTTAGTAAAAGTTCTTGTACAGGGCCACACCCATCGAGCCAGGTGAGGCCATCAACTAAACTCATGAATATTCTTCAGATATTGTGCAATATAATTCATTTTTAAACAGTTTGTCAGCCTCTAGAATCAAGTAAAATTCTCTTTTAGAAAACTTCAAATGAAACACAACATTCAAAAAAGATCATATCAAAACTCGTACTGACCTGGTTCACTTCAAAAAACTTTATCAAAATCAAATCTGACAGAACAAACTAGAAAACTAGATCCAGTGTCTTGAACATTCTCGTGCCAAGGTGGACGCAGATGGATGTTTGTTCTTTTTGCAGTGTAATAAGTCAAAGTATTTTCGATGTGATATTTTGAGTTTTTATTCTAACACTTTTGGTCGGTCTGTGTCTCCACCTGAGCTCTTCTGGAGGCTCAACATGATTTCAAGGATTTTGTGAAGATTTGATTTGCAATTTATGTTTCATGGCAAAGGAGAAATTCAATGTGTCAACTGCACAAATGTTTATTTAGGTTTATTTAGGTCCAGTTGACACATTGAATTTCTCCTTTGTCATTGATTTTACCTACCTGCTTCTCCACACTACTGATGTTTTAATAATAGAATTCTGTTCAAGTTCACAGTTTAAACATCAGCAGCGTCCAAGAAAACGGAAAGACAAGTGTGAAAAACCTAAAGCACGACTCACATGTCAGAACGTGACCCACAGGGAGGGAGACGAGTTTATGCAGAATAAACCCGGAGATTTGGGTGTCGGAGGAACTTGTGGTTGTTTAAAAAGTTCAGTCTCTGTGGTTTGATCGTTGTGTCGTTCGGATTGTGATTCGATGGATGAAGGTGGTCGCCCTGAGGAGAGCTGCAGGTCCGTGGACAGAGACTCGAGGTGTTTCTGTTTCTCGTTCTGCCTCATGTTTCTGATCAGTCTGAGGTGTTTCTGCGGCGTGTTTCTGCGGCGTGTTTTTACTGAGTGTTTCTGCGGCGTGTTTCTGCGGCGTGTTTCTGCGGCGTGTTTTTACTGCGGTGTTTCTGCGGCGTGTTTTTACTGAGTGTTTCTGCGGCGTGTTTTTACTGTGTGTTTCTGCGGCGTGTTTCTGCGGCGTGTTTTTACTGAGTGTTTCTGCGGCGTGTTCTGCGGCGTGTTTTACGGTGTTTCTGCGGCGTGTTTCTGCGGCGTGTTTGTGCGGCGTGTTTCTGCGGCGTGTTTTTACTGTGTTTCTGCGGCGTGTTTTTACTGAGTGTTTCTGCGGCGTGTTTTTACTGAGTGTTTCTGCGGCGTGTTTCTGCGGCGTGTTTTTACTGAGGCATGTTTCTGCGGCGTGTTTGTGCGGCGTGTTTGTGCGGCGTGTTTCTGCGGCGTGTTTTTGCGGCGTGTTTTCTGCGGCGTTTGTGCGGCGTGTTTCTGCGGCGTGTTTTTACTGTGTGTTTCTGCGGCGTGTTTCTTCGGCGTGTTTTTACTGAGTGTTTTTGCGGCGTGTTTCTGCGGCGTGTTTTTACTGAGTGTTACTGCGGCGTGTTTCTGCGGCGTGTTTTTACTGTGTGTTTACTGCGGCGTGTTTCTGCGGCGTGTTTTTACTGAGTGTTTCTGCGGCGTGTTTCTGCGGCGTGTTTCTGCGGCGTGTTTTTACTGTGTGTTTCTGCGGCGTGTTTCTGCGGCGTGTTTTTACTGAGTGTTTTTGCGGCGTGTTTCTGCGGCGTGTTTTTACTGTGTTACTGCGTGTTTCTGCGGCGTGTTTTTACTGTGTGTTTCTGCGGCGTGTTTCTTGCGGCGTGTTTCTGCGGCGTGTTTGTGTGTTTCTGCGTGTTTGTGCGGCGTGTTTTGCGGCGTGTTTCTGCGGCGTGTTTTGGCGTGTTTTTGTTTCTGCGGCGTGTTTCTGCGGCGTGTTTTTGCGGCGTGTTTCTGCGGCGGCGTGTTTCTGCGGCGTGTTTCTTCTGCGGCGTGTTTCTGCGGTGTTCAAATGTCATGATTGTACTCGTCCTTCCTCCTCTTCCTCCTGCGTCTGTGCAGTTTTGGGGTTTTCGGCTCCACCGTCCGGACGCCTCTGCCCACGGAGGAGGGACCCACTCTTCAACACGACGTTTACTTCACTAATCGATGAATCCAGCAAATATTCTTTCCACTAATCAAACAGTTATTTATATCTCAGAAAACTAGATTCTCATTTGAGCAGGAGAAAGATCTGGAGCTGGATCAGAACAAGGACAAGAGCACATAGACCTGGTTTAGTCCTGGTTTAGTCCTGGTTTAGTCCTGGTTTAGTCCTGGTTTAGACCTGGTTTAGTCCTGGTTTAGACCTGGTTTAGACCTGGTTTAGACCTGGTTTAGACCTGGACCACAGAGGGATTAAAGGTTGTATAGAGGATTTTCCAAGGAACGAGAAATCCAGCGACTGTTTGTCCTTTTTCAAATGTTGCGCATGCGTGAAACCACCCCCCTCCCCTACAGCTCCCTACGTAGAAACGCCTTCTCCCGCCTCCTCTTTACGCCAGAAACAGGTTTGTTTACAGCCGGTGAGCTGCACATGACTTGTAAACAACTAACTACAGTGTTGGTTAGGCAAGACGGAGAAGTGAGGAGCGGGGGGAGCGGGTGTGCGGACATTTCGTTCGCGGACGAGAAGTGAGGAGCAGGGAGAAGAGCGGAGCAGGGAGAGAGGAGAGAGGAGAGGAGAGGGGAGCGGTGCGCGGAGATTCCGTGCCCGTAGAAGTGAGGAGAAGGGGGAAGAGCGGAACGGGCAGCGGGGACAGGAGTAGGAAAGGGGAGCAGAGAAGGTTGCGCGGAGATTCAGTGCGAATGAACTAGCTACAACACGCAGCAGCAAGCGGACTCTTTCTTTGCCTTGAAAATTACGTTTTCAGACATAGGATATCGCTTTCGTGTCCTGAAAAACGTTTGTCTAGCTCTTGGAAATAAAGTACGTTTTCATAATAAGCAGAAGTTTCCTGTCCAGGAGTAATTTGGCGACCAATGCGTCAGTCTTTAGACCCTGCGTCTGCTTCAGTCGCGCCATCGCTGGAATGAATCTACAAGAATCACCTTAGTTTGGCTTCGCTGCTTTTCCCCTTGTCTTCTTCTTTCAGCGACCTCAAAAACGGACTTTCTTTTGCGGTGAACTGCTCCTGGATTCTTGTCGCCATTGCAACAAACTTTGTGCAAACTGCGAGGAAGATATAGGTCAAAAAAAGCCGCTAAGAACTGTTGCGTTGGTGGAGTAAACAGCGTCTGTGCGTCTTGCGTCTGTGGACTGTGTGACAGTCGTACGTAAACCACGTACCGGCGGCGCA